GTATTATCAATTTCTTTTAATGCAACCATTTTAACAATATCAACAAATGCATGTTGATTACTTATTTTAATACTTCTTGTAAGACTATCTTGTTTTTGTACAAAATATGGATTATTATTTCGTGGTCCACATGTTAAACAAACAATTGTACAATGTTTTTCTAAATAATCAATTGCATTACGTATTAATATACGTTTTAAACTATCTGTTAAAGAATTATATATTCCATCACGTATTGATATATGTGTAAATGCCATAAGACGACATTGTGATGGAAAATTACCTGGATTTTGTAAACAAAAACATTTAATTGTATGTGTTTTATGAATTTGTTGTTGTTGTTGTTGATATGCACATTCAATAATTGTTCGTTGCATCATATCTAATATACATGAATTAATATTAATTAGTTTTTTTGAGTGTGGATCAACTAATTGACATAAAAATGTACGAGAAAATGTATTACCAATAACAGCAGCTATTTTAACAAGTAAACTTTCACCTTCTGATAAACGATCTATACGACACATAATATAATTTTGAAAATTTTGTTGACAATGTGTAATAAAATCATTTGTTGTTGGATCACGTAAAAGACATATACGTGAAAAAATACGTTCATGTTTATATTGTTCATTATTTATAATTTGTTTCTGACGAGAAAATAATGTTTTAAATAAACTATTTTTTATTGATGAATTAATAAGAAGTTTATCAATATCACCTTCAATTAAATTTAAATCTTCATTATAAGATTCAATATTTTGTGTAATATAAATTTTATCTTTACGTAATAAATCAAAAAGAATTTGTTCACAAAAACCTGGAATACCTATATTATAAAAGAAATCATTTTCTCATTAAATGAAAAGGATTAGACCGAGTTCAAGAATGACACTCAGAGTGTGAGAACTAACTCTTTTGTATACTGATAGTCCTTTGTAATATGTATTTTTATTCAAGGAGAAGTTTAGATTTATTGATCAAAAGTACGAAATGGAAAGATTAATAAAAATCGGTACTAGTCCTTGATGGAAAAACTACTATCGAATGATATGTTAACAGTAATTCTTGAACTATTGGCAGATTTAGAAATGAGAGGTCCTAGAAATGATCGTCACCCTACACAGCATGTAAAATAGATACAAATAAAAATCTTAGTATCTGATAAAATATCGGTTTTTTTCATATTGATGAACTTTACCATAAACAATATGATAAAAATTCTGCTAATAGATGTATTCGATCAAAAACGAATTTGAATTTAAAAAAAATAAATTGAAACAGATATTATAAGATGTCGTACTAATTTTTGTATCTCGTTTTGTTTTTTTTTCTTTCGTATGGAAACGTCAGAGACGGAAAAACTCGTCCCACACCGCTGCTCACGCCTATGCTACATTGACCAGAGCTTTTGAGAGAGCGCGTGCTTACAGCATCCCGATGTTCGGAGAATTTGAAAAACTGATTAGTAGAGTTAATAGAGACCGAAGTGTGCGAGCAGCGGTACAGAATAACTTTTTCTATCTCAAGACTAAGAGATATTATTGTAGAGTAGAAAATTTTCTATCTAAGAATGACTTTTGCTAGAAATTAATTAAAACTCTGAAAAAGATGGCAGCAGCATTAAAATGTCTTATGCTTTATATACTATCTATTATAATATTCCTTAATTGTTAATCTATGCAGTTATCTCTACATAGGATAAACTAATATTTCGGACAATTTTCGTAGAGAAAGTCTTTTGATCAGACATTTCCTGTAATATTGTATGAATAATTCAACTTTGGTTTTTTCTCGTGGTTCTAACCACTGGGACCGGTGCCGGAGCTGATAATTAGAGCTGGCTCCACATAATTTTTAATTCCGAGTTTTGAACATCATCTTTCGGCTATAAGTAAACCTCAATGAGACTAACAAAACTTAAAAACTATTCGTGCTTATGATTCTTTGTTTTCTTACCATTACAATTTTCATTAAGTACTTTAACAATTTTTGCTGG